TGAATGAAAAATACAATGTTAAAAAAGAAAGTTGGCATTATTTTCACATCTTCAGGTTGGGTGGTGACTTCAAAGACAAATGTCTATATAACCATGCGTCGAGGTCAAACGTCCGAACACTGCGATGTCTCCCAGGACAGTAAATTTGTTATCATGGACATTCAAATTGGAAATATTAAATTCGTAATTAACAAAACTAAAATCAGTTGAAAATTAGGATTTATTTCTTAATTTTGATCCATGGTGATGGAAGGGTTATTAGCAGTATTTATTTTTCACAAGGAGTGAACTTCGAGGCTCTTATAATTTTGCACAGTCAGCTATTGTATTTTGCGCATTACCACAATATTCCAGATTCATGCATACAATAACATCGGTGCCAATATTGACCCATATCCTATTTCGGGCCATCATTCTGACAACATATATGTTTTAATCGATGTTCTTTAACTTCTACTTCCTCGTTTTTCAAGTAAAATACGAACCCCGATATTAACTGGATCATGTTTGTATTATAATGGTTGTAATATTGGACAAATACCAGAGGATTGATGGATTATCATTGACGAGTGGGAATTTATTAGATCATGTTTCTAATTCTGGCTTCACATTGACCGGACAACATCGTTATCGGAACAAGAGATCGTTTGAAGTTCCACCTTTGTAGCCTTGTAACATACTGATACAGTTTATTCAAAGGAATCTGCATGGTTATGTTCGTTATATTTATTGATCAGTGATCATGTGTTAATTGTTAAAGCTCAACATCAGAGGGGGAGAAACACCAGGGTTCAAAGATGACATACGCTTATAATGTAAATCTGTATTGAGATGCCATCGTCGCTGATTGGTCAAAAGTCGACAAACAAATGACGCCATCAATGGCGGTTTCAGAATTTTCGAAATACGCTTCGAATAATATTATGTTCATTTCTCGTGTTTACCAATATCATAGCTTCTCATTTCACATCAAGATAAAAAAGGTGTACGGGATATGCCTATATCAATTAAAACATCCCATCGAAGTGTAGTATTTGATAACTAGCCGATGAAAATTCGAATGAACGAAGGTGGTATGCAAGAGAAGTAAATTATGTCTCTCATCTTTAAACACTTGGGCTTTCCCTCCTCTTGCTCAACATAATAGCTATTGTCATATCAAATTGATGTCCGTTTGTTCGTCAGTCCGTCAGCAGGTCTGAATACTACATGATTCAGTTTGAATAAAATGGCATTCAATTTCATACAGAGAATTTCTCTATGAAAATGTTCTCATAGTTTTCTGCTGTATTGAGAAATGGAGATGAGGAAATGCTGTAGGAGAGAAAATGTCCGTGGGCACACTATGCCAATGGACACCCACTATATGAAAATCGAGAGGAAATGTCCGTGGGCACACAATGGACACTCAATGACAACAGGAAGCATTTAATTGACAATTGGATAAATAAAACTAGTTGTGATGCAAATGTATTCTTGCCACACATGCCAGAATATAGCCTTTCAAGTCATTAGGCAAAGCAATATCATTCAGGCTTTGTAAACTCCCAGAATAGCTGGACAGTGGAGTCCCGTTTGTTAGCATTATATTTTAAAAATCGATCTGATATCAAGAATCAACTTTAATTGAAATATTTGGAAATGTATTTGAACCGTACTGTTTTTTGAGTGATGTGTTACCAACGAAATGATATCAATCAGTAAAACTCTATCACTTATGCAATAATAATACAATACATACATATGCACTGAATGTACCAATTGATTTATAAATGCCTTGTGGTATCTGTTTTTACTGGTGTATTGACACAGGTAGAATGGGTATTATTATACATTTTTTGATAAACAATCACCGAGAGAGCAAGCATCAATAACACTATATTACACAGAGAAACTACGCAATAAAACTTCTTTATCAGTACTTATTGAACGTCCTGTATATAATCAAAAATAAAGAGTTGCAAAGATGGCAAATATCAACTTGCTACTAAGAGTGAATTCTGATTTGTCACACCTGACATATTTCTTTTCTTGCTAAATGTTCCCTAGGCGCTATATCCTCTGAAAATAAAAGGCCTATTACACCGTGTATTACATGTCTGAGAAAGACCATACAATGAAAATGTTTGTGAAAATACGTCTGATGGATGACCGGAGATCCAGGAGGCTTATATATCCGCCCTATCAAGTGACACTGACAAATTACCATAGGATAATAAAAACGTTTCGTCAATCTACGGAGTGCTTCTCGAATTCTAATGAAACGTTTCGTAACAGTCCTCGATAGAAAACAATACTATCAAGATTTAGTCTAATATGTACTTCGGAATCATTTTTCAGCAAACGTTTGAATATCTGATGACAGTAGAATGAATTCGTAATAAAGAGATACATTCGATATTCATAATAACTGCACCAGTTTGGATATGGTATTTTCTTATCACAAAAACAAACGGGTCCATTCTCTTCAAGAAAAGTCCATACAATGATAAAAAGTAAGTCGGACTCTTTGATGAACACGGTGGAATCTACTCTTTACGTGCTTTTCCAACCCTTTTATCTTGAAAAATCAAATAAGACATCACAAATTTCTATACATGATTTCCATGCGATGTAAAGCTTTAAAAAGTATTTGAAACCTAATATGAAATTATTAAAAATGTTGAAGTTAAGATGACAAATGGATTAAAAAAAAAATTGAAAGAAAATTACGAAAGGAATGCTACAAGAATCTAACTGCTTACTAGTATTTGCTTGCGTGATCTCGAAATATATTTTATCTCATTGGTTTATTAGCCTAACGTAGTGATCATGGGACAAATACTTTTTAATAACAGTGGTTTGGAATGCATTTATTGTATGAATTATTTCATGTCTTCATATTCTAAATATTTCAATTATGTGGTGTTTGAACAGAATGAGATGATGCTACACTCGTTACAAATGAACCTTTTTTAACCTTGACACACGAGAAGTAAATATGTCCAATAAATTTCCCTAATGGCACTTCGTTTTTCTTGATGTATCAAAACTCAATTTGGAATTCTGTAATTAAGTTAGATATATAGATCAAAGATTCGGAGAATTCGAAGAAACGATCACTTTACAAATTGAAAACACAATGACCGGAGGTTATACTGTATGTAAACATACCAAATCTGCGTTGATATTCGGGTGGATCATCGTATAAAGATAATATTTGAAAACTAGTAAAAACGAAGCAGCCCAAGTAAACGATATTTCCGTTATAATTGATATTACTGTTACTATTGATATTACCGCTACTATTGATATTAACGTTACTATTGATATTACCGATTAGCTATGGTCATAGACCTACTTTGCACGCCATGCTCTATTGAAAGATGTTTCATTCTTGCAATATAATGTATTAACGTTAGTCTCTAATCTCTTCAGTGTATATATCGACGGTTGCCGTCTATCATAGCGTTTCATTTTCCACTTTCAGATTGCTGCAGTAGGTTCTAAAAGCATTTCAAGCAACACCTTCAGCTCTAGGGAATATATCTTTCTTTAAGTCACACTCTATACACCGTGTAGACCGATGTGACGCAGCAACCTTCAAAGACCGAGTCACATCCGTATACAACGCTTGAAAGGACAATTAAAGAAGTGGACTCATCATAGAGAATATATCAAAGCCACAAAGTCTCATATTGCTGGGAATTATATCTACGAGATTAACTTGTTATCATCAGCAGATTAAGTATTTACAAAGTACACAGCAGCAGTATCACGAAATAGGCAAACACGCATGAATTATCCGGTAAAGTGCCATCGGATCACAGCAATGCTATAACTCCAGTCATTTGGGCCACTGAGCCAACGATTGCTATCAAAGGAGAAAGAGTTCAAAGTGGACATTTACGAAAAATAATCCCCAGATTTGTACTGAATGTATATCTTTCTAAGATTGTATAGCAGAATAGGAATATAGATTTCAAGGAATATAGTTGCCAAGGAACTGGGGTCTTAAATATCTTGTATTGCTTAAACGTAATCAACTGGTGCTCTAAATTGCTCTAATTATTGTGTTTCTGGGTATAATCGAATATTCGATCTTTTCTATGTGTATATCCAGTTGGCCAGATGATGTGATTCTTGTAGGTGATATTGGAAATCAAATGCAACCCATCGGAAATTACGGTAATTTGTATAAACCAGACAGGTATCTGATTCCCATGCATCTTTGGTGAAACCACGTGATACAAATCAACTAATTAAGTTGAAGTCTTCTTCATCTCAGATATCAAAATTATTCGTTGTATCGAAATACAAACATTCAAGAGAAGAGAACAACATTTGATAAGCACGGACAACGGAAACCTACATATACATTTGAAATTCATATTCTTATAATTTCATAGTATTGAAAGGAAATTGACGCGAAACAAAGCATTATATTGCAGTCACAGTTTGCACCAAAATTCACGGTCGATACATATTTGAATAATTAATATACCGATATGTATCGCTGAACGCAATATACTGAGGAATATATTCATGAACATATACCCAGCGGACTCAACTGTCTAAAAAGCTACATGATGAAAAACTTCAGATAAATGCAGATTTACACTCCCGTCCATAAGTTTGACAACTGGACGTTTTCTTTGGATACAGCATATCAAAGTCTGTCAGTGCCTGAATCTTAACTTTGTGCGGAAATTGACGACACATTTGTTGAATTCTTTCACAAGAGCAGGAATAACCCCACGGTTAAAAGAGGACATATGTAAATCTGTATTGAGAAGACATCGTCGCTGATTGGTCAAATCGACAGACAAATGACGTCATTCAATGGCGGTTCCAAAGTTTTCAGAACTCGCTTCTAATAATAATATGTTGATTTCTGACGTATTAACCAATATCATACCTCGTTATTTCACATCAAGATAAAGGAAGATGTAAAGAATTTGGTAACATCAATTAAAACATCACAACAACGTGTTATATTCGAAAACTAGCAGGTGAGAGCTCGAAAAAACGAAGGTGGAAAGCAAGAGACGTATTTATGTCTGTCATTTCTAAAGCTCTAGAATTTTCCCTCTTCATTCACGAAACATAAACTAGCTTTGATAGAGTGAATCAAAAGGGCACTTCCGGTTTCCAGACTCACGAAGGGGAGTGTATGTCTTAGTCTGCCTACGTAAATACACAGTAGTATCAATCAACTTTAGAGGATCATAATATTAGAATTTATATTTTTAGTTTGCTGTGTGCTAAGTTTCCTGATTCATATAGGAGTTCATGGGAGTCGTTTACGCTAAATATATCGGTGTTGTAAGAACAAAATCTCCCGATGGATTATCTCTGGATTTTAATATAAGAGATATAGACCAAAGTGTTATAGGGTGACAATAATCAGCATCTCTCTTACGTCCTGTGAGACTTAATGGCAATCAGGAGATAATGATGCGAAGACGACGCACCACACGCCATATATTGCCACTCTTATAATGAATAACGAAATAAAAGTCGTCAGCAACAGAATTTCGTCATTTTTATTATTAATAGGAAAGACAAAAAGTTCGCAAGAGCGTATGCAAATTTGAATTGTAACAATTGATGATAAAGCAGCATGATAACGCCTGGTTTACACATGGGAAGCAATCGATATGTATTTTGATTGCGAAACTTGCATCAGTGGCTTCTGTTGGAATTGTACGAACGACGGAATAGAATTCTCAGAGGCTCTGAGATACGGGGTCCTCACGTTGTGTTTCACGTCGCTGTGTGTGCTCGTCATCCTATGGGTGTTGGTGCTACACTACCGACACAATAAGGTACATGAGAGATATATCAGTCACAGAATTTCTCACTAAAATGGCTCTTACGTTCACACGCGGTACTAACTTCCACCGTTAATTTGAATTTTTGACCTACCAGATGTTTGAAAATCAAGAATTGCGAGTCTCATAGTGCACCGTTTTTCTTCAAATATGTTCCATTCAAAGCAAAACAGCATTGTTTTATTGTAATGAGTCCCTCATTTTAGCACAGTTTTGGTCCCCAGTTGTTAGAAACCCCTCTCACAGCTGGGGACCAAAATGCCGTTGGAAGTAGGGACTCTGTTTAACAGAATAACTACGTACGAACAGAAAGGCATTTTTGTTATGATTTGAATGGAACAAGTTTGAAGAAAAACGGTGCAGTATGAGACTCGTAATTCTTGATTTTCAAACATCTGGTAGGTCAAAAATTCTCAGTAACGGTCGAAGTTAGTACCGTGTGTTTCACAGACTTTTTTCATTGACAAAAATTTGGACTATTACTATATGTGTTCAATTTTTTCCATGTTTAGTAATATTACCCAAATGAACATCACAAAATATGGTGTTATGGCAAAACAAAGCAAAAACGAATAATGCTCTGGTATTCATGGGTTAATCTATATTTTCCCAAACTGTCTTGAATCGATTGAATGTATAAGATCAATCCTAAGAAATATGGATTTGAGGCAAGATTAGATTCATGAAGTTCAATTGTCTTTTGCGACGTAACCATAGTAACATCTTAATTTTACTAAAAAATCACCAGTCGACAAGTTCAAGTTCAGATGGTTGTATTGGATTGATTGTTTAGAATTAGATTTCTTAAAACTGTTGAAATTTAAAAAGGGGCATATTAATCCTGGCAACAATGGATAATAATTGTTTGGAGAACTTAGAGGAGATCTTTGCAGTTCAGCATATTAAAGTCTTTTTAATTAAAATCTTTGTTTTTATAAATCAAAGTTGAATTATTAGCAATGGTGGCTAGTTGTTCTCCTGAAGAATCAGTTTCTTATTAGGTCTAATGACATGATTCTTTTCAAAATGTAATAAATCTTACTTCCTACGAAAACAATCAAATTGCGCTAATAGATATTGTGCAGATATTGTAAATACGTCAAATAAAGCTAGATCGTGAGATTCATTTATTAGAAAAACAATTCCGCAGCAATCCACTTTGAGTAACATATTGCACGAAAAGTTCACGTTAACTCTGTCCAAAAAATGGCCAAAATCACTTGAAAAATACTCAGAATGAAGATGTACTGTATATGGGTTTGAAATATTTTTAGGCCAGAGGGAGGGGAAGGGGGGGGGGGTTATGTGTTATTTATAAAGTTCTTGAAACTTTTCTCTTGTGACAATGTTACCTCTACTTCTGTATTTTTTTATTGTGTTTCTTGTCATGTTTTTTCAAATAAAGCAATTGTAAATCTTCTTATGGTCTGTTTCCTTAATCAAGTAGTCCGTAGAGAGTAAAATGAAATTATCAAATGGGACTGAGAGCGTATGATAGCTTGTCTTTTTGACAAACGAAATATGGCTCATAATTAAATAAAAACCAAGGCATAATGAGAAAACCACGTGAAATAATTGAAACTCCAATAAATCTGAAATGTTATATTGTATTTAATTAGATGCACCAGACACTAACTTCCTGTTACATAATTTGTATATGTTATTGACAATATTTCAGATATTCAAGGCAGCTAGTCCAGGACTTCTCAACATTGTACTTGCCGGAATCACGATCATGCATGGAGAGGTAAGGTTGTTATGATTACATTTAAAGAGGTAATAAGAGGCGAGTTGATAGTGAATCTTTAATGATTTCACAATATTTGTCCAAAGAATTCATAAAATTCTGCCGTTGTTTCTTGAAAATGCCTCGAATTAAAACATCCCTTTTGATTTTCATTAAAACACTGAGAATGCTTCCCGATTTATTTTTTAACTCATATGTTTCGTTATACCATAGAAAATTACTTACTCCATGCAATGGATATATCATTTGCGGGTAACTTTCACTTCTGTTTGAAGTCCAATTACACTGGGATGAAAAGCTATTGAAAATGGCGCCGGAGTATCACACTTCAAAATGTACCATTTCTTGTTTAACTTTCTAATGGCACGATATAGTGACACGATAATAATTACACATGGTTTCAGCATAACTATGAAGGTATAAATGAGATGTTGATGTATTTGGTTTTTTAAATTATTTTATAAAAAATAATGTTTAACTTTTTTGTCCGCTGTGACGGAGCAGTTGCAAATGTGAACTGTGAAAATGCTGCGTCACAGCGGACAAAAATATTTATATTTTTTTATAAAAATATCAAAAAGACTCAATGCATTAATATCTCATTAATACATTCAGAGTTATGCTGAAAACATATGTTAATATTATAGCAATACTGAAAAGCTATATCACTATATCATGCCATTAAAAAAATGAAATGGTACATTTTAGAGTTTGATACTCTGGCGCTGTTTTCAATAGCGTTTACTCCTAGCGTTATTGGACTTCAAACAGAAGTGAATGTTACCCGAAAATGATATATCCATTGCATGGAGTAAGTAATTTTCTTTGATATAACGAAACATATGAGTTAAAAAGTAAATCGGGAAGCATTCTCAGTGTTTTCATGAAAAATAGCATACTCCGTCACAGCGGACCATGCCAGCCTGTGAATTCCTAAAAAAGAAACTAATATGTGCAACCAGTTTAAGCATGCGCCGCCATGTGTTGGTTTCACTCGGGTTGCTAATCGTCACATTTTAAAAGTTCCAATTTGGTTAGCCAAATCACTTATTCTACTCTTCCTATTTTAGCTGCTATTAAGTTAACATACTAGCAGACTATAAAGAAAACACTGTTTTACAAGAAATTAACAAGCGAGAGTCTTTTTAGAGATCATTAAATCCACTTGTAAGTACTGGCGTGTTTCTCCAGAACATTTGTATTTGCAATTAGAACACAAATGTTTATTGAATAAATGCCATTGCATACAAATAACTTGTGGTACTTGTAATTTACTGTTATCTGTTGAAAATCCTTCATCAACGAGTAACAAACATGAAATACAATTTTCACTAATGTCCCTCGAGAGACAAATCAAAATGAATCATTTCCTTAAGAAAATAGATAAATGTAATCTCTGTCCATTCACCCCGAGGCTTTCATTTTCAGCAGATTGGGCATATGCTTACAGCTGACGGATAGTTGAGCACGCGTATTCCCTGAAGCAGGTTGATGTCTTAAACACGTCATTTTTGTTTGGAGGGGGGTCTTAGGGGAGAGGGTACTGCCTCATGTTTGCTACTGCTGAGAAACAGCGATAGTCTGACATTTTTACGTTATCAATTAACTCAATACCAAAGATATGTATCACTATGAACCTTTCCGGGAATTTGAACTCCAATGAAAACAGAGTTCCACGGGGAGATCACGAAGGAGTATTGGCTCTGTTTCGTTATATCATTGTTGATGAATTAAAATAAGCAAAACAAATATATCATACATGTGGTTTAAGAATGACAATGTGGGCGACCTTATCTAAAAAGGAAAAACAAACCTTTATGTAAAATGAACGTTTGCCTTTTATGATTTCTTTAATTATAGGTGATTGTCTCATGTTTCCCGCCATCGGAAGTGACGTGTATGGTTACACCCTGGTTCCGCCATGTTGGATTTGCGTTAACATTCGGCGCCATCCTCTTGAAAACGTGGAGGTTAGTCCATTTGCACAATATAATATTCTCAAAGACTAATAATAAGTTTAGACTTCGTCAAATTCTAGAATTCTGATGATCAAAATATGATATCACGCTATGACAATCAAGAAGATCCGATTCACGTAAAATACATATATGGTTGCTGTTAAGGAAAACAATTTCCACTTTCTTACATAAGCATAGTAACGTTAACCTCGAGTGGTGATATAGTGCAGCCACTTGTTATAATGGTGTTACTTCAATGAAGTACCATTAGTTGAATATGTGTTATCGCCCTTTAAATGAATATATCTGCTTCTTTCGAGTAGGTGTCCGGATGTTTTGATTTATACTCGCATCAAAATGCCGCTCGTAAATTGCAGCAAAAGTCAACGTGGCATAATTAAGGAAATAGACACATTCGTATGCAGCATGCTGCATACCGGTTAACATGTGAAATGTAATATACTGTATTAACATATGATAGTCTGATAAGAATGAATTTATTTGATAAATACTACATTTGAATGCTGTTATCACATTTTGGCAAGCAACTGAGAATAAACGTGAAACGGTGAGAATCGTGGAGAAGGGGACCCCAGCCTCCATGACAACAAGTAAGGGTCACACAGAAAGACACCAAACCCCAAAAGTGAGGGTTTTGTTCAAACGCCACAAATTGAGTTGGGGTTATGTAGAACGCTGGTGATCCACTCGATCACGCTGGTTACCGAAACAGTTCGTTTCGGTAACAAAATGTCGGAATGTTGAAGGTACGATTTTTCTTTTTTCCTTATTTCACACGTTGTAGGCAGAATTCCCACGTGGCGTTTCGGTAACCAGCGTCATCGAGCGGATCACAAGTGTAGAATGTGGATTTCCAAACCCCACAATTTACGGATATGTAAAGGGGATACCAAAGCCTACAAGTTAGGGTCGTGTAGATGAGTGACTCCTCACAAATTAAGGTCGTGTAGAAGGGAATCCTTAAACCCAAAGTTTATCAATTAGGCAATGTACTCTCAAACCACAAGTTAGGATCAGGTAGAATTGAGGACCTCAGAATCCCCACATAAGTGGCATATAGTAGGGGCCCCTAACTCCGCACAGAATAACAATCATCTTACCAGAAACACCACGCGTAACACGCATGTGAGATGTGTAGCCTACGTGCTATATACATCATATGAATCAATTTGGGTGGCAAAATATATGCCATTTTGTAACGTAATGAATATTTAAACACAGAGAAGCCAATTATAGATCAAAATTGATTGAAATGGCAAGAAATGACCAATCAATTTTGAAAACGATTAACGTCATTGGTGTCTATTCAACCGGAAAGATAATCAGCTGTCACGAATGCCAACTAAGTAATTAAGGAATGATAAAAGTGAACCAAAGTTGCTCAAAAATGAACTTCATATCTAAGTAATAATTGAAAGCTCATGGTTAATACCATAAATTACTTCAAATTCACTTAATTTCGAAATACAAATATTATAATTATTTTGGTTTGATTTCAAATTTTATCTAAATAATGTAACACGAAGGTGATTAAGGATTTATAGCACGGGACTCATTACTTCGTATGTGCGTAAATCGCCCATTGATCGTTGTTAGTTACCTTTATCCGAGACCGAACTTGAGTATTAAGGCTACGTTACAATAAATATAAACTAGTGATTTGTTTCATTCACAAAACAATGATTCGTGTACTTGAATCCTTTTCATATTATATGGAGTTGAACTGCATTAAGCTGGTCACGTGGCAACCAGTTTCAAGACGGTTGCTCCAATAGATGAAACTGATCATCCCGATCTAATCCTAGTTTTCATGCCAATGGTTTTTTAGAAATAACATATCACTCTGTATGTATTCCTAATTTTTGATTCATCTAAAGTCTGTTTGTTGGGTGCATGTTCTAGCTGGGGGAATACCCAACTAAGTCATTCTAATTAAGATGCATATCGAGGCCAAAGTAAGCATTTATCTAAGAGGGGGATTAACCCCAGAGTTCAAAGATGACATACGCTTATAATGTAAACCTGTATTGAGATGACCCACGTCTCTGATTGGTCAAAACGACAAACAAAAATGGCGGATTCAAAATTTTCCAATAACGCTTCGAATAATATTATGTTAATTTCTGGCGCGTTAACCAATGTCATAGCTTGTTATTTCACATCAAGATAAAGAAAGATGTAAGGAATATGCTTGAATCGATTAAAAGATCACAACGACGCGTTATATTCGAAAACTAACTCATGAGAATTTGCGCAAACGAAGGTGGTACGCAAGAGACGTAATATGTCAGTCATCGCTAAAGCTCTGGGGGTTTCTCTCTTCATTTATCTATAACATATAGAATGGGTGGTTATACTGTATTCTGATTAGCCTGGAAGTGATACATCATGACTAGCTAGCTATAAGTGAATAATAGATAGTTCACGGCATATCGTTAAACTGAATGTGTACAAGATCAGTCACTGTCACTGACCATCCTATAAGTACAATTATATGTTCTTTTCCAGGGTCTCTATCATCCTTAAAGTGATAAAGCCCCGAGAATTTAAAATCAGTAATAACCATCTGTATCGAAAGGTGGCGCTGATATGTATGGCGTTCATTGCTTACTTGGTCGTGTGGACTTCTGTGCAGCCGGTGCTATACCACGTCTTCCATTATAACTACAAAGATGTCTATTTTATGTGTAGGGTAACATGGTGGGACCTCGCAGGCCTTTTTGGTAAGTTTCAATACAATATACAATACAATACAATACAATACCATGGCGCTCCATGGGTACCTAGGGGTGGTTTCTTTTTGTGAACTCAATTTACGTTTTACTCAATTTTCGGAATAAGATTATATTTCAAACTTATGCTGTTTATTTCAAATTGTAATGCTCAAGCAATGAGTGTGAAAATCTCACAAACTTAAAAACTACCTTTTAATAAATGTTCTTTGTAAGTAGAATTTTGGAACTTTATGAGTTATGATGTACCTAGATGTACCCAATGAACCAGTAGGTATTGAATGCATCTGTTATGTACGGTCGGTTTTGGATACAAGGCTTATCCCTTGGGAAATATGTGTATCTCCCTCGATCCCTGCGGTCGCTGGGGAGATACACATATTTCCCTCGGGATACACCCTGTATCCTAAACCTCCTAGTACACAACCCTTAAATATGCTGATACTTTAACTCTGTCTTACCGAACTCCGAGTTCATAGTATATTACACAAACCTCAAGTGATTTGAGTAAATCATTATTTTTTATTTGTTCAATTTTTTATTTCCTTATCTCCTTATTATTTTGGGTGTATATCGTCTCTATTGTGAAATAAGCTTTAACTAACTATATAAATCACATGAAATATTTTGCACACATACACGTACATTTATATCGTATAACGTATTGATTTCAGGCGAATTACTGCTGTTATCGTGGGGCTGGTATGTGGTCGTCAATACCACTGAAGGCCCTAACATTTACGATGATTCTAAGCACACCAGTTATGTCGTATGGAATGAGACTCTATGGTGCATAGTTGCAGTATTCTTTGGGTGAGTACATGCAAAAGTTGTCATGATCGGATGCATAGTTTTTATCAGCACTGCACAAAATTTTCACTTCAGATGGATCGCCATGACGATATGTCAGATCTGCATAAGTGGCGACATATTTTTAAAGTCTCCCAACTGCTTTATGGCGGCGAGGCGGATGTCCGGCGGTTGGTGTATGGTGCTCAGCGTTCTGTGTTTGTAACAAATGGCATGTGGTGACATTTTGCATGTTTATATCATGTTATGTAATTGGGGCATACCCTTTGCATTCGTTCGACTTCACTTCTTAAAAGAGAGCTTCATCTTAGCCTAGTTTATAAAGAATTCAACTTTTTTAAAAAGTGTTAAGATTAAGTTATTGATGTTGGTCTAAAACAAAGTTTAAAATGTTATTGTTTTATGATAAATTATATTTTCATACAAATAATGTATTTGATTTATCAAAAATGACCCTTGAAACTGAACTACCGTTGCCTTAGTCGAGTAACCTAAATAAGTGGTCAGGACGTACAGTTCCTCTCTCTAATTGAATCAAGGTTGAGAGGCTACACTGCCCTTTACAATCAATGACGGATGGATAGCACATTGTTAAAGTCGTATTTGAGTTGTCTACTTCAGTGATCACAGGGTCGTCAAGATTAATACGATGTGAGCATTTAAAAAGGCTAATGGCGATTAATGAGAGACAAATGGTGACACATTGTGTATAATTCAATAAATGAAGGACTTTCCGTATTAGGATGAAGCCATATCAAAAAAGGTTAACAAAGGACATTAATTATTGTTCAAAAGACACAACTTCGTGTCCATTAGACATTGTATAAATATATTCCTGTCTGGTTCGTGTTTTAAAATTTATTGTTCAAAAGACGCAGATTCGTGTCCATGTTAGAATTACGATAAATGACTGATCCTGGATTGTACGTTTTAAGATGTGTCTTCTTAAGTCCACGCTTTCCAACATAACGTAGTGTCTCCTTGTCGTCTCACAAAAGTCTGTCTCTTTCTGTCTATACAGGGAACCTCGAGTCATAATTTTCGTTACCCTGTCCGAGATTGTCCTGTGTGAGAGTCATAGTCCCTCTGAAAATACGGTATCTTCTTAGCTCGACCCCGATCGAGTTTAGTTCATTGCCGAAAACAGATTGTCATTTCAAAGTATTTAAGCGAAATCGGACAAAGAACATTGAAATACAATAATTACTAAAACATCTGATAGTAACCAATTGCATCAATCGTTGCTCAGCAACACATATTTCATTTTCAGATAGCCCTCTTAAGATCCACCGCTAATATTACTTGACAGGGCAAAATCAATGTTTTATTGGGTTTATTCGATTATATTCTTAGATTGATTGGAAAAATATTCATTTATTCAATTAGGACGAACCCCAATACATTAGTTTTGAAACAAATAGCGCAGCTGATGCATCACCTGTTGCCATGCATTAAATTGGAACATTAAATTGGAATAAATCTGTCAATATCTTGCCAAGTGCACCAAGCATAAAATTGGTTTTCAACTTTCAGGTCTGTTATACAGAGATACCCGGATGTGAACCTCTTGCTGATTGGTCGATGTCTCAGGACTTTAGTTACTTCCGGTGTCATATTGACTCATTTCTTCGGGTCTAAGGTAAAATGCTAGTTTTAAAATATTTTGACAGAAAATGGTTAATTTAGTTCTCGTGATTATACAACGGCACGAGACACATTCAAGCATTCATTAACTTGCCTTGCATACTTTGATTCGGGTTAAGTTCAGTGTATTCCTGATAAAATTTCAATATTAGTAATAATCTCTAAATCACTAAATATAAATTGAAACAACCGTGTCAAATTCTTCTCCCCGTGTCAATACTTCTATTAGACGTATCATGCCGATTTTTGTGTTTCTGGTTCTTGACTTTTGTTTTCCTACAAATAGAGGTCAATATTATTAGCTTTGATATGGCTCAAAGCTGTACGTAAGTAATAAAAAATTGTTGACGAACATATCGCCAAAGAAACAAAAGTGCAAATTGCTCTTGTTGTCAATGTAACATAAGTGATAGACTCAATCTTGAAATTGCTGCTATATTTGAAAGCAAAATACCTGTACCTAGCTGCAAATATAAAAACTGGAAGGCCATTCATATCACATCGACTTTACGTCAAAATAGATGGGAAGCAGTTTAATTGTATGTGGCTGTTCAATTCTGTCTCCGCAAGTCCGGTGTGAAAGAAATTATGGTCCCCTGGGGATTATGGTCCTCTTTCTAAACGGCCCTTACTGGCCCTGATTGTGTATAAGATAATAAGGGAAAGAGTTGTATTTAGGTCACCATATAAATCAATGGAGAGTAGGTCCATAATTTGATAGGACCTCCTACTCTTTTACACCGGCTCTTCTTAACTGTTCACGACATCTATTTCAGTTGTATGCCATTATGAGGCACGACCGAGAATTGAAGTGCGTATTAACAGACATCGATAAAGAAACAAGGGTCCACCGGCTTACTTTACTCATAAACAAGAACGGCAATGTAAAACATATACAATGCAGACCTTGTGGGCCACTACAATACACAGAGAAGATACCAGAAGACATAAGCGCTGCTGAAAGTAAAATAAAAACAGAAAAAACAGTTGCAGGATATACGGAGGTAAGGTCCCGATCAGTAAGCACAAGTGGGAACATTTTTAAATCAAAAGTCATTCTAGACAATCTGAAACCAGATTAAATCCATAATTATTCTTGTCGATCACAGAACAGTTTTTAGTTAATATGAAAAATATTAAATTAGTTTGAATATTTTACCCGTAGTTTTATCTTATCAATTTTTCCATATGTTTCAAATACATACAGTATACCCATCTATATGTTTGAATGATCTATAGAGTCGTGTATATAGGCTCGGCTTCCCCTCTATTTTTATACGGAGACTTCGTATCTAGGTGTATGTGGGGAAGTTCAAATGGGCTACGATCTATTCCTCCAAATACTGTCTTCAAAATAATTTTGATAAGATTTTTCCCTATTTTTCAGTATGAGATCGACCGTTTAATTGAATTAGTTGCAACACTTAGAACCGAGAGAGATACCTATTGGAAGCAAGCAGAGGAACTTATGTCCATGCTGAAAATACTGGATTCAAATAAATGGCTTGAATCAAAATTGCAAACACTTTCAAAAATGAGTATACGTGCAGAGACACAGACACAAGACTGTCAGATCACACCATTTACACAGTCTCAATTGACACTTGACACCCAAACGGGTAAAACTGGAAACAGCATTAAAGACACTAGTGAGCACGAACAAACTGATTATGCACAGAAAAATGATATTATAAGCGCGACCTCGACTTCGAGTCCGAAGTCGAATAACGTCGACACTGGGTACGGAACTGCCAGACAGTCCGTTGGGGATGAATACCAAAGCGGGAAGATAAGCGAGCTAGGCATCCCGAGTGACATATCCCGATTAATTGAGCAGTTACGGATGCATCAACTTGAGGAAAAAAACAAATGGACTGAGTTTCCAACATGTTTTTCAAAACAGCTACAACAACATCAGCAATGCAACTTGCGCATCAACTGCAAAAATGTTAGCCCAACTCATAGAAATATCTTCCAAAGTCCCGACTTATCATTGAGTGACTCCAAATATGCAAGCCCAGCTGAGGATACTTTGGCAACACTCGATGAACTCACTGCTTCTAGTTTACAAAGTTTCCGAAGTGTTATCCACGAGGATGAACTGCCGGAAGAATTAAAAGCTCATCCACTTACTACTGTGAGTGGAGAACTAAATGGCAAACTTTATATAGATGTCGATAAAGTCTATGGAAAAACTACAACGAAACAACGAAAATTATGCAATGGAAGGAACCAGGACAATACAATACTATCAACTTCTAATTCGAGAAGTACCGGACAAGTTAATTACTCGAAAGCAAAGTGTAAAGTACTTCATTCAATTGATATAGATGAAAGTATAAACATGTATATATGACAGTTTTATAAAGTTTATCTTCAGATTTGACTGTAAATAAATCGATGCGATATCTTGTTCTTTTTAAAGTTGTATCAAGACTGAATTAGAGTTCTTCAAAATTGCTGAACGGATTTTATTGATAATACGAAAATACATTTTGATATTGATCTTGAAACATGTAAGAGGTATTGGAAAAATATATCATGTAATGGAACATGTATCCTTAACCTGCAATTTTTATAAGTAATTCTAAGAACAGGATATAGGTGATTTAGCTTGTAAAATATTATTCACTGGTAATGATCCTCACTCGAAAGATCTATTAACTGATGTTATTGTTGCCTTTACTCCATGTTTTTTTCTGAATGGGTGTCTGAAATGCCAGTGGAGGTAAATGGCATAAAAAATACAGTGGACGAAATGCCAACCGGGGGTACATGGTTCAGATTACACTGGATCCACTCACAGCCGGGGAATATATAAAACTCCAAGTTATTCACCAGGAGGATTTCCATATGAGAATATCACAAGGATGATATCAATATTTTGCAAGGGAACGCATTGACAGAGTAAATATTACTCTTGACCATGGTTTGTTTGTATTTCCTTCAATTCTGAAGATTACAATTTCTTATTAAAGAAAATAGATTAATAAAAAGTTATATACATTATTATACGTATTAGTCGATGTGTCATTTTCTGAACCTTTGAATCTGTAAAAACACGATGTTTTATTGTGGAATCGCTATTTTTTTTTGTCTAATGACACTTTTGCTATCATAAGGGTTTTATGAAGTGATTTAGCTGGGTTGGACAAAGGGCAACCTTCGGGAAAAAATACATATGCAAATGAAGGTGTCCATTATATAAAAGCGATTTTTTGAAAGCCTTTGACTCAATTGACCATACTGTTTTGCTTAATAGTAAACTTACAAACGATGAAATCAACTGTGGAATAGTGGTAACACCAACACAGTGTCTCATTCAACCATACTTCATTATTCACTCATGGTGTGATTCAGGGATCTATTTCATGTTATATTATTTTTCTATACATTATAAAGACCTACATAAATCAAGTAATTTATTGATTTATTTGTCACTTTTGGTGATGACAAACCTCTAATTTCATCATACTATAACGTTTGATATAATTAAATATGCTAAACATGCATACCGTATGTACACTATATCTGATAAGTTATTTTTGTATATTTTAACATTATCTTGTTCAATTGACGCTAAAAACATGGGTCTCCAGGTCACAGGGCTATCATTTTTTCCTTTGTAAGATAGTTTTGTTAGAAATTCAATAATTGGCAACACAATTAAGGAAACCACCAATAAGTCGTTCCTTTGTACTGCAACCTTGATAAACAAGACATTTTGAATAAATACGAAATACCAATAATAAATATATGCTATTTTGCATATATGCACAATATCTAAAAAGTTATCATTGTATCTTTTAACATTACTGTATATCTGACTGACCCTGAAAACATTGTGGCTAATTTGCATATAATGTACTAAATTAAAATATAATAAATAATTCTTGTATCCTTTTACATTATCTTATTCATTGAGCCTCAAAACATGGGTAAGGACACAACAATTGTGATGCTATCATTATTACTTCTTAAATTATGTAAGATATTTCAATAATGGCTGCCCTTATTTGCATATACATGTATACTTTCCCCGAAATTAATTATTTTCTGCAACCCAATTAAATCAATAAAGGAACCCTTGATTAGTTAATTAGTCAGTAATTTTTATTGTTAGTACCTCAGTTGAAATACTCGATTTTGATTGGTCAACGAGAGGTGAATAATTTTAACTGTACACCGCGCAATGCATTGCCGGTGAATAATATTCCCAGCATTCCACTAAAATGACGTCATTATCAGACGATAAAATGGCCGCCGCTAGCACTAGCCGTTTCAAAAATGTTGAAGATGAGGATATTATTAGTCTCTTAGAGAGTAAAGACAGTCAAAATACGAAGAAAAATCTAAAACTTTGTACAAAGCTTTTAGTGGACTTCGCCCAGGAGAGTAATTTGACTCCATTGAGTGAACTTACTGCCGTGGCAGATGTAGATAATTTTTTGAAAAAGTTTTACGTTCAATTGGTATTAGAAAAAAAGACGGTGGACTTTATAAGTTGAAATCATTTCAGCTTCTTAAATGGGGAGTGGCACGATACATCAGAGAGACACTTAAGATGGACATTACCAAGTCTGAATTCAAGGCATCAAACGATGTTTTGAAATACAACATGAACGTCTCGAGGGTCTGGATCCAACTTCAAGTCAACTTCAAGGGTCAGAAAAATCTAATATATTCTTCGGACTAACAAAACAATTATAGACCTCTCCATTCGGTTTACTGTCAAAATTATATCCCTCAACTGTAAACCTCGACCTACGGTCTCGGTTTACAGTCTCGGGATATAATTTTGACAGTAAACCTCTGGAGAGGTCAATAATTGTATATTGTATTACAAGTTTGATATAGAAAATATCTGAATAAATGCGATATTTCAATAATAAGTTGCAATTATGCACTCTATCTAATAAGTTATTCTTGTATATTTTAACAATAGCTTATTCATTAGCCCTGAAACACAAGTTTTGACAAACTTATTATGCTGCTTTCGTTTTTACATTAATTTCACAATCAATATATCAATAATGGCCTCGCTAATTAGCAAACTAACTTTTTGTCCAACCCAGCTAAATCTCTTCATGAAACCCTTACGTCATAAATTTACCAAAAAACATCGTGTTTTTAACAATTTATAGGTTCACTATAGGATGCATAGGAGTGACAAATGGACTGTATACTAGTATTTAATTATTACTTTCAGATTATTTGTCAATGTTTTCTATATTTTTTGTTTTTGATGTATTTATACTAGCCGCTCTGTATTAATATTATCTTTTTTGCATTACACCAATACCATTATACATGTACATCATACTCGATCATCTAGTCTTTTATAATTATGTAAATTCGGATAGTTATGAGTCATTAGGGTCATTATGCTGTAAGAACGCTTTTCAAGAGAAAATTTTGACTTTGTTTTCGAGAAAGATGCAGAATTAGCTTTGATTTTAGTACGCTGTCAGTAGTTGAGCTGACTTATTTGGGTCAATTTTATTAGACTCCAGATGAAAATCTGGAGTCTATTGCTTTTGCCAGTTTTCTTTATTATTATTATTATTCTTCTTCTTCCTCCTTCCCAGATTTCTCACCAACTAGAAGAGCTTACTTTAAGCTGCTTACATGATTAACTAGGGAATGTATCTGGCTTTCTGGGAAATTAGGTCAAATTTTTATCTAGGTCAAAGGTCAAGAACTAGGTCAAATCCAGTACTTTGTCACTTTTTCCCATTATCTCGGTCGTCCTTCAATATTTTTGATCCTGGTTTTTTTCATTGTGTTCCTCATAAAAAAGTAGAAAACCTAGGGTCGATTTAGTTTTTTGGTATCTCAAACCGATTTCGAGATATCAGTGTCCGAAAACGAGGTCCAAAAAAAATTTCACCGAATCCAATGTCCAGGATATTAGTCTTATGGGAAATTTTCTCAGGATTTCGAATCTGAAAACCAAATTTCGATCTGACTTCCGGTTCAGAAGTTATGGCGTTTTGAAAATTCAAAAATCGCTAAATTTGGTGCCCCGTGTTAATTCAATGGGAAAAAATATTTTTTTGAAGTGTAAAATACGAGATATAGACTAAGCACAGCAAAACATAATGGAAGCCCATAAAAGAAAGGGACCACAAGACCTTCTTTTCATAAAAATTTGGACACCAAAATGCCTAGGTCAAAATCTAGGTCAAATTCAAAGTTTTTCCTTATTTTTGCGATTCTGACACTACAGGTTAATTATATTCTTCGAAAATTTGTGTACATGTAGCCAAGAGTGTGCTAATAGTGTTAGCCTTTTGCCGTCAGGAAGTATTTTGACCCACTTTTGAGATATGGTGTCCGAAAAGTAGGTCAAACTAAAAAGTTCTCCAAATTTAACGTATGAGTTATGAATTAAGGGTAGAATTTTCTCAGGAATCCAAATCTGCAAACCAAATTTCAATCCGGCTTTTGGTTTGGAATTTATGTCGTTTTGATAGCTCAAAAATCGCTAAATTTGGTGCCCCATGTTATGGCAATGGGAAAAAAGATTTTTTTGAAGTGTAAAATACAAGATATAGACTGAGTACAGCTTAATTTAATGAAAGCCTATTAAAGAAGGGGACCTCGAAGGCTACTTAGCTCCAAAATTTGGACACCAAAATGCCTAGGTCAAAATCTAGGTCAAATTTATAGTTTTCCCTTATTTTTGCGATTCTGACACTATATTTAAATGATTTGCTTTAAAATTTTGTATACAGGTAGCAAAGAGTATGCTATAGTGTTAGCGTTTTGCCGTCAGAAAGTATTTTGACCCACTTTTGAGATATGGTGTCCAAAAAGTAGGCCAAAGTAAAAAGTTTTCCAAAATTAACGTATGAGTTATGAATTAAGGGTAGAATTTTCTCAGAAATCTAGATCTGCAAACCAAATTTCGATCCGACTACTTGTTCTGAAGTTATGGCGTTTTGAGATCTCAAAAATCGCTAAATTTGGTGCCCCATGTTAAATCAATGGGACCGAATAATTTTTTGAAGTGTAAAAATACGAGATATAGAATGAGTACAGCTAAACATAATGAAAGCCCATAGAAGAAGGGGACCTCAAAAGCTACTTTCCTTCAAAGTTTGGACACCAAAATACCTAGTTTAAAAAATCTAGGTCAAATTCATAGTTTTTATTTTGCGATTCTGACACTACACTTCAATGATATTCTCCGAAATTTTGTATACTTGTAGCAAAAATTGCAATCCGACCCCAGGTTTAGATTCTACGCCATTTTGAAGTTTGAAATTCGCACTTGCCAGTATTCACGATGCAGATTGATCAAATATACTTTCAAAAATTCCTGCATACCCTACTTTACCTCTGTACCTACTCAGCTACTTATTTGACTACTTAATTACTTAATTAGTTATTACTTACTTAGCAACTTACTCAGCTACTAACTCAGGTACTTACTCAGCTACTTACTCAGCTACCTACTCAGCTCTTTACTCAGTTACTTACTCAGCTACTTACTCAACTACTACTAAGGTACTTACTCAGCTAATTACTCAGTTACTTACTCAGCTCTTTACTGATCTATCTAGGTAAAATAAATCTGGAGTCTTAAATTGAACTTGTTCAATTTCACAAATCTAGTTATTATCTATATCAAATACAGTAATTAGGCTTATGTTAATATAAAAACTATTAATCAAAATCAATGTATGAAATCAATGATCAAAGGGTTATCCATCGAATGAAATTCAACAATCCATGCAACATATTCATTGGAGGTTATGTTGTAAAATGCCCATTATGGTAACAATCGTACGCGTCACACTATCTAGTTACTATGTGTGTTGGCAAGAACCAGCACTCTAAATTGAGATCCACATGGAGGTGGATAATGAAAATCAAATTTCAGAGGGAAATAGCTCTGGATGAAAACGCAGATGTCATGATTGTAAACACTACATTGTTATGATTTAGTTATTTTTCATCTTGACAATGTGAAGTGTCTTGTTTGTGGTATAATCGTATATACTCGTACATCCGTGATATACTTTATAGCTAATCGTTCTAATATGCTATATTAAACTTTAAAAATGCTGCTGATAAGATGGACGTCAATCCTTGTCATTATTTTGCATTCGAAGGTAAGTGTTTGAGACGAATAATTGTTTTATAGCAATTCTAAAATCAAATGCCAATGTATGTTTCTCCATTATGATTCATATTTCAAAAGTGTATATTAAAGAAACGTTCAAGGAAGAATAAAATCGACTAATCACTTGAAAATGGAACTTTGTAAAAAGGCACATTTACTTAGTACCTTTACTGATCTGAAATCCCAAAGTTTATTGAACCATCATACTACAACAATTTATCAAATGAAGTTATGGATAGTGTCAGTATAGATTCATTTGAGGCTCTTAAGACACACAATGCAATTACTTAATGAGTGATTTCTATGCAGACCTCCTGCTTCCACTTTTATGTTCAAATACTTTACTAATTTTTCATTTTACTTTCACACGATCATTCTTGATCCTTTTAACACAATATGTGCTTTAAGTCACATTGTTATTATAAGTTTGTAAATATTTTGAATGGAACGATATTATGAACTTACAAATATGTAAAGATATCCACTTTATGAACTTTTATTGAGTTTCATCTATAGTAAAATATGTCAATTGGAACACCTCTAAAAGTAGAACACTTCGGAGTCCCAATATCACAAGTGTGGGAAACTATGTAACGTTACTGGAAATACAATTAAAAAATTGTGTTTATTCGTTCGGTATTAGGAAGCGTCCTTTGGGTTTTATCTTAGAGACGAATTACAATGCGCACCTATTGACAAGACCATCCCTGGAACTGCAGTGCGTGAGTACACAATCAATATATGGCTAATTTCATGATTTCCTAGGCTGTAGGTAATGTTTTGGGCAAAAATATGGTAAGTCATTGTCTCTTGGAAAATACTTTTCGAGAATTCAATTTATGAGCATTGCTACTGACAGCATATTTTTGCAAAGGGAAAGGTCGAAATATTCCGGGAAATACTTCATCGTTCAATTTAAATATTCTTTTCATCAAGGATGAATTATTTTCTTCTCCAAATTCCTTGTTTATGAGGTGGATTGGATAGCAATATATCTATCCTATCTACATATGGTCCTATGGTCCTGCACAATATGTTACAGTATTATTATCTGGGTTGATTCATTTTTGGGCTGGAGTTAACACCGTTTCTACCGTTTTTATGCACATTTGATCTTGTGTAAAAACTAGCAATACTTTTACAATGCAAATATAAATGCTAATGCAGATCAAGATATTGACTTTCTAGATACTTGCAAAACAGTCTGGTCTTTTATTCTTTGTTCAAAATATTTTACTATAATAATGTGTGAAATTAATTTAAGTACACGACTCATCATCGAATTTTAGTTGACGTCACTCACGTTCATCATATATAACACAATGTATAAACATAGCTCATATTGATGTTTCAGCGAACCATATTATGGGTGAACTATGTTTGAAATGCTTGTGTAAGGTAAGAACGTGTCGTTAACAAGACAAATGTAAAGGATTGTTCAAAAGATTGATGTATTCATGGATAATCAAATATACTCTTGTTTTTTGTATAAGTACGTTTAGTGCCTATTTCTTCCAATCATAGAATATGTTAAATAGTGGCACGAATTAGAATTGCTTTAATTGATTCTACCCTGGTTTGATGAAAGATATGGTCACTAAATGTTATTCAAATACCAAGTGTGTCTCAGCCTATCAGCTTAGAGCATTTTAGTGCATTGATCTATTGGTACATGTTAGCTATGATTTTACAGTGCTTTGAGTTTTTCATAATGCACTGACAGAGTAGTGCTATTCTCAAAAGAGAGGATATTCCAACTAAGTTTACATAATGTTATGCAAACTTCTGCATCAAATTAATTACTTTACTTTCCAAATTATTTTGATAAACAAAACCTTTAAAATAATTTTCAAATGGATATCAATTGTAACTTACTACCTCTAATTACTAGTTCATAAACGAATCCAAAAACATAAACTGAAATAAAGGTTTAACCAGGTCAACACTGACAACAATTTCATCACCTTGACATCCACTTAATTTTTATCACTTGACCCGCATAAGCACTTCGCTTTACATTTCCTGTGATACTTTTAATAGATTTTTCACCCGACTGTAAAATTGATCAGTTTACCAGTTTAATTAGCTTCTCTAGAATCTGAAAATTTTGCAGATGTAAATTGTGAACTGGGAGTTGTGGAAAACACTTGATAAAATTAATGATGTATATGAAAGTCAACACATGAATGAACATGGAGACTGGTGTAACACACACTTCAAAATCAACGAAAATATCTGACCTACTAAATAAATGAGGAAAAGATTTGTGAACATCTAAGTTGTTTAAGTAACCAAGTAGATTCAAACCTAAGACGAATTTGAGACACACTTGGTATGTTCTATGGTATATATTTATAATTCAGTATCTATTTTAAGTATTTCCATCTTAAGTTGAATATTAATAAATCCACATCTTCATACGTTATCTCAATAAATGTTTACTTCATCATTGACCAGGGTCATGTTTACTCATGGATTTACTTATGTTCTGAGTAGGAGAGGAAAATTTCCAAAATATCTAATTGAGAAAGTGTTAATTCAGCACATGTTTTTTTTTTATTAATATGCCCCATATAATATACATGTATAGTACTATGCATGTTTATTATGTACTGGATAATGGATACTTTCAAGGAAATGGGATGCCAACAATTTATTGGACGATGCCATGGTGATGATGTACCAGAAAGTCCTAAAATATGCGGACCTTATCGTATAATGCCAGACTACTACATCGATTGTAGCTACGGTACACGATTGGGTATGTTTATTTCAAATGTTGATATTACATTCTTAGTCTTACTGTCTTATGACGGTTCATTAGAAAGTACATGATAAAATATTCAAATAGAGGCCACCCAATGATATACAGTTACATGAGCCTACATATCGCCTACATATAACTTCACAATGAAATCTAAAAAAAAACTTTTTAAACATTTATAAACTTCTGGATACTGTACTTTGTAAAGTGGTTGTATGAATCTTTTGATGGTAAATAATGTAAAATTGTTATTTGCAAAATCATTTTAGGTACTGAATTCAAAATTTATGGTGAGATAAGATTTGGTATCACGACATATCAGTTCGATAAGATTTTAGTAGCGCAAACAAAGATCATATTGAGTATCCATTGGATCATGATTCTCCTTAATGAAACAGTTCTCTTTTTAGGGTATGAGGCGTGTTCTCAACAACTGACGTGCTCAGAAAGATGCATTCATAGTTACATGAAGAGATATGCAAACCCATGCGACTCCTCAAGAGACATAACTTGCGAAGACTATATAAGGTAAAGGCCAAAGGGTTATCGATGACACTCATCCAAATTAAAAACCATTTCTATAGCAAAGTTTGTATAAGGTATGGTTGGCATAAAAAAGGTATGGAAAAAACAGGATTTTCAAATTGAACAACCCTTTCAAACTAATATTGAGGATGTTTCTCAATGAAGGTATCATCTGGGAGGACCCCGAGGTTGTAACAATACGCATGATGACTTCAATCAAGCTAGAATTGACTCCGTGCTAAGCTGCGTGGCTGAAGGTGGTCCACCTATGGGTAAGTTAAATGGTACAGCACGATCATAAATCCCCAAAGTTAAACCATAACCCTCTTAATAAATATAGAGGTTATTTAATGGGAGGGATGGAATATGAATTTTATTTCGAGGGAAAATATGATATTGACCAAGGAAAATATCATATTGACCGAGGGCGACAGCCCGAGTGTCACTATGATACTTTTCCAGGGAAAATTCATATTCCATCACGACCATCAATAACCTATTTATTCCATAATATTTTCCTGAAACTTGTTTTGCATGTCGTTACCTAATGATTGTGACATAAAATGATACAATTTGATTTGAAATACTCGATTTTGATTGGTCAACGAGCGGTGAATAATTTTAACTGTACACCGCGCAATGCATTGCCGGTGAATAATATTCCCGGCATTCCACTAAAATGACGTCATTATCAGACGATAAAATGGCCGCCGCTAGCACTAGCCGTTTCAAAAATGTTGAAGATGAGGATATTATTAGTCTCTTAGAGAGTAAAGACAGTCAAAATACGAAGAAAAATCTAAAACGTTGTACAAAGCTTTTAGTGGACTTCGCCCAGGAGAGTAATTTGACTCCATTGAGTGAACTTACTGCCGTATGAACATCTTGAGGGTCTGGATCCAACTTCAAGTCAACTTCAAGGGTCAGAAAAATCTAAGATATTCTTCGGACTAACAAAACAATTATGGACCTCTCCATTCGGTTTACTGTCAAAATTATACAATTTTGACAGTAAACCTCTGGAGATGTCAATAATTGTATATTATCGATGCCATTTTCAACTTTTATTAACAAGTTTTGGAATAGAAATAATTTATAATGCTAAAATGGATCATACGATGCCATAATAACATATTATCACGTCTCATGAAATTTTCTGATAATTCTGATACGGGATTTTTGCTGATACGGGATCTGATATGGGAAAACATGTAACTATGCAATAAATATATATATCACATACAAACTGTTTTAAATTATGCAACTTACGATTCTTAAACTGCTGTAGTGACTACAACTGAACCTCCCCCACCTAGTACGGATTGCCCGAAACGAGAAAATCCAGAAAATGGTAAAGTGATGGTGAAATGCCTGAACGATGGGTGTAAATTGAGATACAAATGCAACAAATGTCATGCTCCCGTTGGAAAACCGACTAAACAAACTTGTATCAAAGGAGTGGGATGGTCGGGAGATCCTGTGACATGTGAACGTATGTATATCCCTACCAAAACGCTCAAACCATGCATAACCAGTGTATAAGATATATGGTCCAACGAGAGATCCAAGTTGGCCACTTTTCAGGCGATTTTATCTTCTAATAAATGGCACATACCAATAATTCACGAATATCGATATATCAGTTTGTGCGAAAGGTAATTAACTGCGGTGATCTATTATAAAAGTAACATGTTTTCTCATTTTCTTCATTACTTCAATTAATGTGTTGTTATATCGATTTTAGGTTTATCATGCAAACTACTACAACCGACAGGAGCAAAAGAAGCATTCATTATATCGATCAACAATGTACCACACGAAGGGAATAAAGTCGAGTTTGGAAAATGCGGGGATGTAGTGCGATTTGATTGCCCGAAAGGACAACATGTCGTTGAAAACGATATCAATAAAAGGGAATGTGACAAAAAAGGGATTTGGAAGCCGAGTGGGATCCCGTCATGCACTTCAACGATCACGAAGTAGAATGTACCAATAATGTTTTGTTTCTTTTTCAATGATGTAGTCGATCAATAAATACTGATAGAAATTTTTCGTAATACCGAATACTTTTTTAGGTTTAATTATGGAATTCTCTGACAAGTTTACTGTCTAGGATATTTTATAGATATTTACATATAAAAATATTTAGAAACTAGACAAGATCTTTCTGAAACGGTGAAAACATGAGTTTGCTCAAATTTCAACACCCTCGTATTGTACCTTACCCTGCTCGTTCAACTATCACGCTTAATTTGGTACACACCATGTGTACACTACTACTGATAATTTATCAGTACAAGCTTAGTAGTTAAACCAATAGGAAGCGGGCGTTAAATTCTGGGGACACTTTCATGTATAAGAGAGATAAAAATTGAGCAATGAAAGATAGATGCAACAATTCAATCATATATCTGCCCTGAATAAAAAGGACATCATAACCAAAATCCAATGATTTACTAGAAATGGTCAATTGTCAGTTTCAGTTGCTTTGATTTGTTGGTTCTGTGGTCATAGCAACTCATTGACAAGTAATGCAAAGGCAGGGCATGGGACAATTGGTTATACACGAACTGTACTTGTTAATTCCTGAACATTCGATTTCTAGACTTATTCCAGCAGTGCTGTATATATACAGGGTGTTCAGGAGATAATGATGTCATTACTTTTTTGTGTTCATGATTTTTTACTCTTCTTCTGTTTTTGATAATATTGTAATTTCTTTTAAAAAACTACTATACGTTATCTTATCTTCCAGTGGTGACATAAAAATGCTAATTTACTTTGCATTACCAGTGCTGCCTAACTGCTATGGCAACAGCATTAAGAGAGTTATTCCACATTTTAATATATTCCAATGTATTCAAATACACTGACGAAACTCGGGAACAGGATTAGCCTCTTCCCAAATCCTTCGATCAAAAACTCTTTTAATCCAAAATTCTGAAGAGCAGTCACGAACCCGCATTTTCGCAAAGATCCATCATGTTTAATTCCCACCTTGTCAAATTCAAGATCCGTACGATTATGCGATCTAAATTACACGGCCCAATTTGTCAGTTATTGGCCCATTATTTTCCCTCGTTTATTTTCAAGAAAACAATGATTATTCTATAGCTATTTCCAAGATTTCTTTAATAAAATATTTCAAAAGGATGTCCCAACTCGAGGTATTGTTCTCCGAATCCAAATTGTGGGGAATTTTAACATAGTTAAACGTCTACATCGGAAGGGTGTTATGCAATACGACCGTCTGTTGATAAACATCAATCAAAATAAGATGTGCCATCTCGAGGAAATCAACAAATTGAAATTAATAGCAGCCATCTAACGATGCAGCGTTCTACATCGAAGCATATCGTACACTGGAACATCTACCATCAAATGTCATCGATTGCAGCTGTTTATAACACAGAGATAATTACCACAAGACAGCGCGTTGTGCCATTTTAGTAATATATCATCCATTCGATCATACAGCATACTGGCATATTATGGAATAACCAGCCATTTTGGTAAGTGATGCCTTTGTTTATTTATCTCATTTTTCTTGCAACTCTCGCTCGCTTACTTGGCAAATGGCAAAGGCACTGTGGTGCAACTAATTAGAAGTATAACATCAAAGCTGGTAATACCTTATAGGTTCTATGGGCAGAGGTCTATGTTAGGTTTATACGGCTCAATAAAAGATTCAATAAAATATCTTTCTGTATTAATGTTCTAGTCTAGCTGTTATAGTATAATGCAAGAATGAAAATTGTTCATGTTTCATATTTACATGGATGAAGTGTATGGTGTAAAGGCTAAACGTATGAACATGTTATATGGTGTAACGGCAACATATGAAATACCTATATGGTGTAATGATAACATGTAATAATAACATGTCATGGCTAGATTAATAAGGCAGATAAGGCATTAGAAAACATATCAATAAAAGAATTGTTCTCTACGAGTGGAATTATCTTCCGCTAAAAATGACAAATCACTAATACAGACATCGCGCCGTCACAAATGAATGGTTTTAAATATAGCTTATTGCCGAATGCAACGGATTGGACATGTAACATTTCAAATATATCAATATTCACTGAGGTAGGATACGCGAATTCAACTGCCAGCTGACGGATTAACCGCTAATATGATTATATGACCATCTCATTCGAATATTAATAGTACCTTCTAATATTCACACATTCATATTAAATAATATTTTTCATTTTGCCCTAAAATAGCGATTAATTCGTCAGCCGACGACCGGTGCTTGACTTAGCGAATGCTTGGTTACTCTTACTATTTTAATTACCATTTATTGTGTATACGTATGAACATGTATAATATGTATACCTTGTAGTTTCCTAGTCACATGTGTTAATATACTCTGTGTTTATCAATAGCTTAGTGCTAATCATGTTCAATTACGGGTATACATATTTACGAGGTTCTTGTTCACAGGAAGTGTCATATACTTGTACTGGTTTCATCATGAGGGATAATCTAATATCTAACCAGGGGATATCGAAGGATACATAAGGGTTATGGATTGGAAGGTTTGGATATTAGATGTACTCCATACCTACTGAGGGCCAAATCTCAATGAGCGGGACCGGATTGATATGGCGTGTATCATCCCGATATTGGCGATAGCTCCCTGGATCCGCTCGTCATGTACCTTGGATCTCAAAGGTATGGAATAAGCGTATGTACTGGGAGGTTTGGGATTTTGGGTTTATCCAGAGGGAGATGTTTTTTTTAAATCATTGCAGAATTTTTTTTCAATTTCGTCTTTTTCAAAACGCTTTTCAATTTTTTTCTTTTTTTATCAGGGGGGATATGCGGTAGCTATTGAGGTTCTAGATATATAGGGGTTATGCACTAGGAGGTTTTGGATACGGGGGATAACCCGAGGGATATGCAATACATCTTCACGAGGGCCCGAAGGGACACATTATTCAATTATTCATTATTCACATCATTTGTTTTTTTAATTTCAAATTTTGATCACTATGTTCGTCTACCACATTTGTCTTTTGTTTAGTTCAGTGCTAATATAGTTGTGACTGGAATTCCCGGGGCGGGACGTATTAGCCATCGTACGACCCATATAACGCCATTATATGCGGAACAAATGAAATATATTTGCCCGGATATCGAATATATTCCCGGTTCATATGTCCCTGAGACCTCATCAGGTATAGAATACACAGACTTATCTCCCTAAAACTCGTACTCGGCAAAAGGATAAGATTTTTTATCCCATGATATCAGTATTTTGACGTGTATGTTAACTGTATGAGGTTATGTCAGGATTCTCTTGTTTAATATCTTTAAAGCGGCCATTTCAAGACCACTTGCTTCAATATGTACACAGAATTAATATCAAAATTCTGAAATCATTGAACGCTCATAACGGAATAATCTCATTTAATAGACATCCAGGAGGATTAAATTGACCAAGTAGTTATATTTTACAAGACAATGGGTAATATTCAGTCTAGTCCACATTCTCCTTCTCAGGGACTCACTCTCGAAACAGCTATCATAATATCGCGCGCATATCGTTGCACAGGTCCAGGATTAATATCCGGTAAGTATTGATGCATTTACTATAATAGGGGTTCGTGTAGGTTATGTTTATATTAAATAGAATGCATGATACAACGATGTGGATCTTATTTATGCTTTATTGATTCTAGGGGCTGTATCGGCAAATATGTGAAATACGACGAATAGACCGTAAGGCAAAAAGGATGGCCACGGTAATGCCTTCGAGCTCCGGTTCTGCTTTAAAGATCCGAGATATAGTCGATGGAATCGGATATATTTACAAATGTAAGTACAGTATTATGACTGTGAACCTTGATTAGAACTTTTTAAAAACTCATGTTCACGTACATTTTTGAAATTGATGGCGTGTGCCTAATCTTTAAAAACAGGATAAATCTAAGATAAGAGTATCTAAAGATCCATAAATCTATAAATGCAGTTCTGTTAAAACACATTGAGAAAATCATAGCTGATCGAACAGCTTAATACCCACTGCTGTTCTACCAAATCATAGAACTCATTCTGACTATCAAAAAACATTTTCTACTTACAATAATGTTGTCCTATGCAAATCCTCAAAAACATTTTTGTTGATATTGCGAGTGCCTTTGACTGCATTCCTCGATACTCTTGTCAACAAACTAAAAGCCTATGGTGTCCAAGGGCAACGTTTGATATATTAAAATCGTATTTGATCATTCCGTGTTGATATTGCTCATGGATCATCAGTGACAACTGAAAAGGCTTACTTAACTGAGGCATACCACAGGTCTCAATTTTAGGTGCCCTTTCATCATCTTGTAAAGTAATGATCTTCTAGTTCATGTAAATTCCAAATGTCAAGCTGGTTTCGATTTCTTATTTTGCTAAGTGCATTTCGATACCACCAGCTGCAACTGATGCATTTCCGCAATACAATTTGACGGTATAATAATTATATAGATCAATTTAATCAATGTAGTCATTTTGCAAGATTGTATCTATGTCCTTCTGACTTTATATTCCAACATTTACTCATAATTTACTGATCGTATGCTTCGATAGAACGTTTGGTGCCCAGTATGCAAGATACATATGCAACACCAGTTCCTATAATTTATAAAGTTAACCGATTAATTAGTGATGGCTCACACACTCACAAGGCTAGCCTTTAAAATCGAAAAAGTGATTTTGCTACAATTAAGTGTCGTTCATTTTTTAAAGATAATTAGTGGTTCTGCCTTGACTCTTGACTCCTGACACAGCAAAATGTATAACAAGACTGCGAGTTAACCAAACACTCTTTTCAAGAACAGGATCACGTAGCTTTTTTGGCTTGTCTTGCAGTGAAGGTTCCTGCTCGATGAAAAACAACTGATAAGTGACCAACCTCCATATAAATCCTTTCAGTGCGACACTTAAATTACACTGAACGAATTGCTCGGAGATTGGTAGGTTACTATTGTCAGGTAGTTTAAAGCTGCTGTTTGCCCCGAAACGCAATCTTGGGTTGTTTCGGGGGTGAACTTTTCGGGGGTGAATCATTTTGAGCTTAATGAAAGATTATAGAATGATGAACAAATGGGGCAAATCTTGTGTACAAATACTTACGATAAATGTGTCATTACAAAGATTGTGCATTGAATTGCTTCGATTTTCGACGGCGATATGATCTTTGGAAGGTTTCTAAATTAAAAATCAGCACACAGGCCTGGGTTCGAATCCCGCACTTAGTTTTTTTTAGTTTTTTAACTAAATGATTGTTCTTTGATATTACGCAGAAAAAACAATGTTTATTTGCATAAACTTTATATTAGAGCTTGAAAATGTAAAAACAATATATATCAACATATTGCGTTTTGGAGCGATGTGCAGGTTTAAATATCAATAAAAATCAATTTACTGTTGGAATATTTAAAAACGTAGATTTAATATCAATCATTATCCTACACTTAATAGTGTACTAAATGTATAATAACATTAAAAAATAAATTTGATATTTATTGGCAAAATGAATATCTGGAGGATATCGTAACGATATACTCCGGGCGGAGGATATCGTGACGATATACTCCGGAAAACCCAATATACGGAGGATATTGTGACGATATACTCCGCTTGTTGATTTCCCGCCAAATTGACCCTATTTGGCATGGAATTCATTTTGCAATGATATTATACATTTAGTACACTCCTTGCAAGCGTAGGATAATAAGAACATCCTACGATTTTTTCAGAATATCATTTTAATCTACTCGGTGATATTGATATATGCACTCGTTCCCTTCGCTCTCTCGTGCAGATATCAATATCACCTCGTAGATAAAAATGATATTCCTCAAAATCCTAGGATATCCTAGGATATCCTATAATAGCGAAGCTGAACGTTATTCCAGATTTTCTTTACAAATCCTCAAAATAAGGTGATGGTCTAAAGATCTTCAAAATTAGCGTTTAGTGAAATGCAACTAAAATACAGAAATAGTTAAACAGAACTAGATGATAACCAATGTTTCTTTTAAAACGGCTTGTATGATATAATATCCATGATATAGACCTGGAATAAAAACATTTTCCGGAAATCAATTATGATATATAATTATCCCTGCTCAAATGCACTAAGAGGGCTTCTGAAGCTGAGGTAAGTGGCTTTTATCAAACGTAATTAATCATGATGAGTCTAAAACCTTAACGTATATTGCAGCTAATGTACAAGTCATTACACTACGACGTTCTCATTTTAAAAGAAAATACAGTCCGCTTGGGATTATTGTCAATGATTGCATTTCACTGAAGGCGTAATGTACTTAATAATGAACATGCACATATGTGAAAAGTAAGCTATGATTCCCAATGGATTGATTATATTGTTCCTTTTTTTGTATTAGGATCCACATGGCTCTGAGTATGTTTAACTAAAACAACTCGAATCTTACTTCGTTACATACATGTAGTTATATCATTGGGTTTGTTTTTCATATATTTTCCTCTGAATGGCAATTGTATTTATATCTAACGTTGCTGATCTATATGGCACATTTTACAATTTACCATTCAATCAGTTCATATACATGTATATTCTGACGTAGTGTACGTTGTACGTTTATAAATCTTGCCGAAATATGTTTAAAACATTGATTGTTACACTAACCTTGTACTTTTGGATATTGGAGGTTTGTTTTTCGTGTGACTGGTTACACTTTTATTTTTTGAACTGTATTTTGTAATAGCTTTTAATCTTTCCGTTCTGGCATTAAGTTCATTTGTCATGCAATTTCCTCCATCTATAATAAAAAGTAAAGCCAACTAATGTAACAACGCATACTGCAAAATATTTGTTCATATATTGCATAGATGGCATATTCGACTGATATTAGAATATACGCTGCCTATTCTGTACTTCAGACAGCTTATTTCAGCTTATATATCAATTCAGACCTCAAAAACAGGAGATATGGTAACGACACTGTATGCATACTTTTAAGAAAAAATGATGAAATAATCTTATTCTCACACACAATCAAATATGTTAAAACTTTATAGGATAAATACTGAACTGAGAAAAAATAACTCGCATAGAAAACAGCATTTGGAGTTTAGAGATCCAAAAAAGGTAATCCTATAGAGATCTTTTCAGAAAGTGTATGTTTTTAACTCGTTAACTAAAATATGGCGTAAGGTTAAAAATTCTATCAAAAATGAATGAATCGTGTGATACAAACAACTTCGCCATCTTTCATTATCGCTAAAAACTTGAGATATATAAAGAGACTTGATCAAAAATATTTTTAAATAATCTATTGTCAACTCTGATGTGCATGGTCTGTTTGAGCTGTTTTCGATGTCAAATGAAAGATCGAGTACCTATCAATCTATTGGAAATACTATGAAGATCAATAGTATAAGACTACATTTTCCCAAAGAATGCTGAAATTCAGCATTCAGTGGCTTTACTACTCCTCATAAAACCTTGCAGAGAATGTAGTAGATACTATACAGTAATATCGAGGTGCAAAATGAAGTGAGACTAGGAAAATACCTTCTGAAGTTATATTCTTAAAAGCTAGGTTACATTTAACTCAAATTTATGATGCCATCCCTAACAGCAATATTATTTTTTCTCCAGCATCCTGCGTATAGGCATAAGTTGAACAATTAATATATTAATACAATTAATATATGCAGCCACTATCAATAGAATTGCGACACACCACTTTTGTCTGATACTGGAAACCCTGTTAATGTATATTCATGTTTTTAAATCCTCATACAGCGGGAGGGGATGTTACTAAACATTTGGTAACAGTAACAATCCCCATGTTCACTTATTATATGTCATCCTAATAACTTCATGTTACTTTAAATGTCATCATTCATTAACATTATGTTACCAGAGGTATGTATCCTTCAATAAAGTAATTACAATGATAATTTTGTAATGATCGTGGTAACGCTTTTTTGTTACTATAAGTATGTTACAGTAATATGCATCTATCAGTGATAACCCTTTGATATATTCCTCAATAAATATGTTACCTAACAATGATGAATTCGCAATGATCGTGATAACCCTTTGCTATATTCTTCAATAAATATGTTAACTTACAATGATGAATTCGCAATGATCGTGATAACCCTTTGCTATATTCTTCAATAAATATGTTACCTAACAATGATGAATTGTAATGATCGTGATAACCCTTTGCTATATTCTTCAATAAATATGTTACCTAACAATGATGAATTGTAATGATCGTGATAACCCTTTGATACATTCTTCAATGAATATGTTAACTTACAATGATGAATTCGCAATGATCGTGATAACCCTTTGCTATATTCTTCAATAAATATGTTAACTTACAATGATGAATTCGCAATGATCGTGATAACCCTTTGCTATATTCTTCAATAAATATGTTAACTTACAATGATGAATTCGCAATGATCGTGATAACCCTTTGCTATATTCTTCAATAAATATGGTAACTTACAATGATGAATTCGCAATGATCGTGATAACTCTTTGCTATATTCTTCAATAAATATGTTACCTAACAATGATGAATTCGCAATGATCGTGATAACCCTTTGCTATATTCTTCAATAAATATGTTACCTAACAATGATGAATTGCAATGATCGTGATAACCCTTTGATACATTCTTCAATAAATATGTTAACTTACAATGATGAATTCGCAATGATCGTGATAACCCTTTGATGTTACAATAATTATGTTAAAGTAATGAAGTTGCAAATACATTCTTCAATAAATACGTTACATAAAAATAATGAATTTGCAA